AGATCATCTATATGAGGTAATGGGTACTGGTTCTTAACAGTTACCCGGTTTAGCTTCCGATAATTGATGCACAGTCGCAAAGTGCCATCCTTTTTCTTAGCAAAGAGAGCCGGTGCTCCCCATGGCAAAGTATTAGGGCGAATTAAGCCCTTATCTAACAACTCTTTGTCACGACCCAAACCCGCCCTTATAGGTTTAGCATCGTAACCGGCCAGTAATCTTGGGATTACTGAAGGCCTCTAAAATAGATAAATGAAATAAAGGGGCTAGCGGAAGCAAAGTATATACAACAAGTAGTCCAATGAGCAGTGATTCTATATGAAATAATACACATGCACATAACGTTAATTTACCCATCCTGTATTATGCACATAACACCTTGTACAAGAACATTCATGTACACAATTACATATAACAAAAGTCCGGCAATATGATCACAAACTATAAAACAGTCTTCTCGACCTAGCCTTAACTTGGATGCACCAAAAACTCAATAAGGCTTCAACTGGTGGCTTAGCTAAAGGAACCCTTCTAGGCTTGATCTCCAGGACGCTCACCTATACATATATACAAACAGTGAGCTATGGCCCAATGAATAACATTAATGTAAAGAGGTTAGTGAATGAATTTCGAAGATGTCATATTCATAAACCAAATCATAACAGAATTAATTCTCATTCCGAACATAATAATGGTACATCCAATAGAACATATCACATCGTCATCTGACTAGAGTAATCGGTTTTGGATACCGATTAAACACATCACCACTTTGACAAGTGGCTAATGAGATCTCATAATCACATATATGTCATGGATCTGCATTAACATGCCGTCCACATGACTTGGGATTTTCTGTGGATGCCATACTAGATTTCAAATAGGACATTCATTCATGTTAACAAAATCTTATTTCAGAAATCATAACTTATCTAATAACATTTCAAATATAATTCATATGAACATATCTTTACAATAACGTTACTCACAGTGGGCTTCCAGAAATAATTGGTCGGTCCTCAAGTCTTGACTTACAACACAAATGTACATAGCACAAAACATATTTCATCATTACACATTTGTATGGCCATCATGGCTTAGCTTTCTTTACATTAGTTTCTTATTCAGTCCATTTCTTATAATTTATACATGTAAACCACATTCTCGGATTTGTCTCATATTTTCTAATTCAATTACTCATATCCTTTCTTAGCTTATTACTTTTTAATGACTTATAATTCATGTCTAAATATGATAAAAAAAGGATGGGAATGAAAATACGAACACAAAATGTCTTTCTAAAATATGCTAAAAATGGCCTGACCACTCGAGCGCACCTACGGTTGCTCGAGCGGACTGCTCTGTCTGCAAAAGTACTGGATTGTCTCATTTTACATGTGAGCCACAACTCATTCGCTTGAGTGGTCAAACAATACACAAAGGGTTTGCTCGAGCCACCAAGTGGTCGCTCAAGTGGTCTGTAACAGACCACAAAACTAGTGGATGCTCGCTATGTTCACTAAAGTGGTAAATTCGTCGTTTGAGCGATCTACAATTTTTCTAGGTTTTCAAAACAGAGTCTTAAGCTTCCAAATGCAAATTCAAAGGCAAAACTCATGCATGGCTTGTTCAAAAACTTAGAACCATGTTAGAAAATCATATACATGCTCTATCTTATATCATTTGCTCAAGAATCTCATGAATTAAACCAAAATTGTGTTCAAAACTTCCATGCATGTGAGCTTTACAAACTCTTTTATCAAAGTCAACAACTATTGAACTCAAAGCCCTACGCATGTCCAAAACTCTTATTCAAAACATGAAATCAAACTCTAAAACATGATGAATTACACATGCATATACCAAATAATTCATAATAACAACTTAAATGCTCAAAACTAAACTTAACATAGTAAAAGTCTTCATATTTATGCATGCATGTAGAAATCTCTTCCAATTTCCTTTTCTTAACTTTCAATAAATCATGGAGATTATCTTCAAAACAACTTAATTCTTGAATGCATGTATAAGGTAGCTTCAAAATTCAGCTTAAACAACATATTCAAGGTCAAAAGTGAAGATTCATAATAAAACTATACATGCATAAATGAGTTCTTCATCTTCTTGACATTCTTTAACTAAGACATGCAAGTGGAACTCCTTCAGAGATGGATATGGATCCCGAGGTTGAGCTCTTACCGCTCAGTGTTTGGCCTTTTGATCCGGTGACGTACCAGCCCGCGATACATGTGTTGCCTCCCGACAGCATTCGCCAGTTTAGGAGCTTCACGCGAGGTGCTCTGGAGGGCCTCCTGCTATGCGAGCCGGAGTCGCACCTTTCTTACGGCGCCGCTGAGGTATACTCTTCCTCTTTACTTTCTGTAATGTAGGTCATATACCTTGAATAGCCGATACTGCCCTTTATCTGATCATCACAAACACACTTGTAGATCACATGTTTAGTTCACCATGAGCACACTCATACATGATATCTGTGTCAACTCGAACACATGCACACACACTGCATTTTTCTCAATTCTGAATGCATTCAAACACTGTATTTTTGACATTGCTTCATATCTATTTGTCTTGAACACAGGGAGATTCCCATGCTTTTCGGGGGTATGGGAACACCATTGCCCGGGGTTGGTATATGGAGCTACCCGACGAGGTTCTCCATATTATTGACAAGGCTGGCTTCGGCATTTTCTGCATGGGACTCTTGCGCCTCGCTGCGAGTAGGCCCCTTCTAGGTGCTAGTGGAGAGGTGGTGGGACACCACCGATTCCTTCCATTTTTCTGCTGCAGGGGAGATGACAATGAGTCCCTTTGACTTCTCCATGCTCATCGGCATCGGAGTGGGGGGTGATCCGATCCCCTTCGATACTGATATGGGCGAGTGGGATGTTGCCCAGATGTTCTTGCTTGGCGCTCACCCATCTCTCTCCCGGCCAGGGTTCATGAGATACTCGTGGTTCGAGGACCAGTTTCAGGTACAGACGTCGACGACCTGCGAGGAGGTCGAGCAGTATGGCCGAGGGTTTCTTATGTTCTTGTTGGGCACCACTCTCTTCGCCGACCGGGCAAGCACAATTGGCCTCTACCTGTTAAGCGCGCTAGTGGACGTGACTCGGATCTGGCGCTATGACTGGGGGGGCGCAGGATTGACCACGTTGTACGGATACATGAGCTCCTCCTTTCGTCGTAGTGGACACCTACTAGGGGGGTACTGGCGAGCTTGGGAGGTATACCTTTTCTTTCTGCTTTACATTATCTGTACACTACACACACTGCATACACGCAATCTGCTTTACACTGGTTGTACACTGCACACACCGCGCAAGACACTTCACATACTGCACGATACACTGCACATCATTCCTTGATTTCTGCTTTATCTGTATTCTGTTTTACTAATAAACATACTCACTGTTGCCCTTTTACATTCTGTAGTTATGGGTGTATGCCTACTTCCCGAGGCTTGCTCCAGAGCCGGAGGTGGAGATGCCCCCCGTTGTCCCATATTCTCACAGATATGATGTGAGGTGCGAGCGGAGGCCACGAGAGTCTTTCTTGTTCTTTCGCAGATACTTTGACACTATAGCCGCAACAGAGGTATTTCAAAACTTACAGTTCATTTAAGCTTTACTTTATATTCCACTCTCAATAATAGATAATAAACTATATATCTTGTCATTTGCAGATCACTTGGCAGCCCTGGGCAGTGCTACCTGACGCAGTGAGGGACCAGTACATGGGCTCTCAGGAGACCGCCCGGTTCTAGGTCTTGCTGGAGGGTCCGGTCTGTCGGACGTGGTACTTGGGAGAGCGCTTCTTGCATCAGACCCTTGGTTTGCCTGAGCCAGTGGTTCCGATACCACCTCCTACGCACATGAGACAGACAACGACCTGCACCCCACAGGAGAAGGAGGATTACACGATCGGCTAGGACGCTGACTTCTTCAAAGATGAGGGCGACTACACTGTCTTCATTCAGACACATCTCATGCGGCCTCTGGCCAGTGCTCGCCGAGTTGAGAGAGAGAGACCTGTAGCCCCAGTAGGAGGAGCGGGAGGAGTGATGGCGACCCGGCCCGTGACAGGAGTGGTTCCCGGAGGGAACAGAGAGCAGAGTGGCCAAACTTGCCCACCACTATGACATGCCGAGGACAAGGTGGGGAGACTTATCAGATACCCATCACTCCTCCTCTGGCTGATCACGAGCTCGTCGGAGTTCGGGGCTCGACCCCGGTACATGCAATGCTTTTCATTCTGTACATTTATTTCATTTCAGTTGATATCCCGCAAATTACTAATTACCTCAACACTTTTGCAGGCTTCTATCGAGTACACTGGGCAAGCCCTGCCACTGACGGCTTCGGTGATGGGGATGTTGCAGAGGAGTATGGACCTGCTGAGTATCTACAATATCCCAGTGAGTTCTTTCAACCTCAGTCTCAAGACCTTGCATAATCTGTTCCATACTGATCTGATGCGTTACATTATCAATACGGTATTTGATACACTGCACTCACATACCACTCACGACACTGATACACTGTATCTCATATAATGCTCACAGCATTCATACATTGCAATCATATACTGCTCACGTCATTCATACATTGCAATCACTTACTGCATTTGATACCATACTCAGCTTCACATAGCATAACTGATGCATTTGCCAATTTGATCTTTTCAGGCCCCGTTCCAAATACTGGCCACAGCGGGTGCCTCAGCAGGACCATCAGCACCTGCCCGAGCAGCAGGGAGAGCAGAATGAGGGATTTCAGCACGCAGCCGTAGCAGAGCCGGGCGTACTCACTCGGGGAGTAGTTCGCGGGCGCCTGCCCCAGATGATGACGAGTCTGATGCGGAGGCAGAGTCGTCTTAGGATGAGCCTGGAGATGGCTCGGGTTCAAGTTCTGGCAGTGGAGCTGATGGCAGCGATCCTGGACCTTCATCCAGGAAGAAGACGAGGAGAGACTCCTGCACTTGAGGCGACCGGCGCCGATCCAGATGCTACTCTCTGTTTTTTTTTTTGCTTTATTTTTCTTTTTACTAGCAGTTTATGCACATTGTACTACGTCAGGCAGATTTATGTTCTTCAAAACTATTTTGCAAAAGAAAACATGATGGAATGAAACAGTTTTTTTTTATTGAAAAAGTGTTACATTTGTACATTCTAAGCATCGCATCGCATCGCATCATATCACACAACATGTAAATGAGATTGAACCTTGTTTTGAAAACAAAACACTCAAATTGCATTAATCAGGTAGTGAACCAACTGACAACAAATCAACTCGATAAGCAAAACAGGACTTGACATACTAATCAAATGCAAATACAACTCGATAAGCAAGATGAGAACTTAACAATTAACACAAAATACAACTCGATAAACAAAAATACAACAACTCGACAAACAAATTGAAGTAACACAGCCGCGACTTCGCAAAATCATCACCGAAAGGCATTCGAAGTGGGACAAGTCACAAGTTCTCAACATCTCCAACACATAGACAGCTCAGAGAACAAAAAGAGAGGCCATCGGCCAAGGGGAGAGGCCATCGGCCAAGGTGAGAGGCCATCGGCCAAAGAAAGTGACCATCGGCCAACATTACTAGCCGATCGGCTAAAAAGATGGTCAGTCAGCGCTCTTTTTGGCCGATCGGCCAAAAATGGCAAGGACCTCCAGAATGCTACCACATGTCTTCCACTCAACACCTTATCCTCCACAAAAGTCCCAGCTTCGTAGTTTTTCCATTTCAACTCAGTTTTTGCATGAAATGGAAGCATTTCTTGTCCAAAATCTCACAAATTGGATTGCCAACTTGGATGGCTCAGAAAATTTAAATTTCTGGGGCTTCGGAATAAATGCACTATTCACGCTGAGCTGCACCCTGCTGCGTTTTCCGTTCCTTCATTCCACGGCAAGGTATTGGAATCTGATTACGCACATTTTTAGCTTTGGCGGACAAGAGATGTATCCCACTTTCGAAGACTTCCAAGCTTTGATAGAGTCCGAATGCGAGGAAGAGATTTTGCCACAATTTCGCTTTGGCCACATCCAAGCCTTAGGATGAATTTGCGGGCTCACTATGCATGACGCTCGGTATTTGATCCGCGACAGGGAGTTAGACATCCCCAGCTTGGTTCACCGGTTTTCTGATGCCGGTGACTGCAGCGATCATCACTGGCAGGGTTTTCGGTGACATGCGCTGTGCTTGTGCATGCTGTCTCATTTCTTGCTTGCCTCAGGCTTCGGAGGGTCTAGCGTCCAGTTGATTGAAGTTGCCCAGGGCTTAAAAGAGGGCAAGAGCTGCATTGCCATGACACTGGCTGAGACATTGAAGGGTTTGGATGCTTTTCGTCACTGAGAGACGACTAGATTCACGGGGAGTCCACTACTATTGCAGGTAATGTTTTCCACCCTATCTCACATATATTTCTCACATCATTCGGCCCTCAGGCTCGGCTTTTCTCTCAAAACCCTTTTCTCACTTTTCTCTCCACGTACACCTCTCTATTCTTTAATCTCTCATTTTTCATCCCTCCCAGATATGGTTGATGGATAAGTTGAAGGTTGTGGACTCATGCCCCACATATTCAGCTCACCACTACTTCTTCTGGCAACGTCTAGTCGATGCCCCTGATAAGGGATGGTGGTGCGAATGGATGTGCAGTTTGTCCGCAGATCGCATTGCTTGGCGCTGCCCTTGGTTCAATTTGCCGGCGATAAGTTACATCATGTCTCGCCAACCCGGGATTCAGTTGATCGGCCTAACACACTGTGTCTTTTACTTCCCATTCCGATTCCGGCGCTAGTTCGGACATGATTAGACTTGCCCGGATGATGGGGTAGAGTACACTGCTGCATTTCCAGTCTGAGGTGCACAGCTAGCTCGGTATGACACGGCATGGAGAACGAGAGAGCTTCTGGCCCCGGCTCCCACTTTCAGTTGCACTTTATCTGATGAATGCATAGCTTGGCTTGATGAAGAGGCGCAGGTTGGGCCTATTTTGGCATCAGAGGCTTCCACAAGCTCTGGGAGGGTACGTAGGAACACCTGACTATGCCCTGAATTTATTTGCTTTAATCAGTACTTTCAAGTTTTCTTTATGAATGTAATAAAAAACAACTTCAATTCGTATTCAAGAGTAGGAGAACTCTGTACTGAAATCAATGTAATTGAAGGTTGTAGGTACTGAAAATTTTTCGTTTGGTCTAAAAATGGTCTAAGTCGTAAAAAGATTAATTTGAGCAAAATCAACTTTTATTAAAACATTTCAAAACCATTTTCGATATGGATCACAGCTGGACACGCCCGAGATCTATCACCAAGATGTACAACCCCGGATCCCAGCAACTGGAATGTTGCCCCTAGTCTGAATAGCACTGCATTGGAGATCACAACCGAGCTCTTGAATGCAGAATAGACAAAGATGGCCAACATGATCACACGGACAAAGTTGATTTGGAAGTGTTTATTGTTGAACTTCAGAATGAAGTTGCCTATGTATCTCGAAGATGGAAATGAAGCCTTACGTAGTTCTGTTTGGGTTCACTCGTGTATTAACCCTCTCCTTTTACGCTCTAACTTTTTCCAAGGCCGCCCTTTTTAGGTTTTTAACCTTGCGAGCTCAGTTTTTAGTATTTCAAATTTTTCATGCTCTAACTTTTGCCTAGGTTGCCCTTTCGGGTTTTCGGCCTAGCGAGCCACTCAGGGATAGTATTTCTTCCATTTGTCCATGTTGATCGGCTGGGAGAAATCTAGGCCATCGAGGTCCATTAGAACGACAGCTCCACCCGACTAGATAGACTTGATGATGTAAATGCCAGTCCAATTAGGTCTGAACTTGCCCCTAGGGTCGTGGATGGGAGCTTGGTTTTCTTTGAGCACTAAATCCCCCTCTTTCAAATTCCTGGACTTAACTTTCTTGTTGAAAGCCCTGGCAATTCTTCGTTGATAACCCTAGACGTGATACAGTGCTTTCAGCCTTCTTTTATCAAAGAGCATGAGTTCTTCGAACCTGCTTTGTTGCCAATCTGCGTCAGCTATCTGACACTCAGCCAATACCCGTAATGACGGAACCTCAACTTCGATAGGTAGAACAGCCTCCATCCCATAGACCAAGGAATACAAAGTCACCCCAGTAGAAGTTCGAATTGAAGTCCAGTAGCCCCAAAGAGCAAATGGCAGCTTATCTGGCCAGTCCCTCTAGGTTTCCACCATCTTCTGTAGAATGTGTTTCATGTTCTTGTTGGCGGCCTCAACAGCTCCGTTGGTTTGTGGCCGATATGTAGATGACTTATGAAAAGCCACGTTGTACTTCTCTAACAAGTCGATCACCTCCTTCTTGAAGTGGGAACCATCCGAAATAATCTCATTTGGGACCCCATAGCGACAGATGATGTTGTTTCCGATGAACTTAGCGACATGCGACACCTTCAACACCATGTAAGATTGGGCCTCAACTCACTTTGTGAAGTAGTCTATCGTTACTAGAATGTACTTATGCCCGTTGGACCCCTTTGGAGTGACAGCCCCAATTACATCAATCCCCCAGACTGAAAACGGCCATGGCGAAGTCATGTTGTACAACTTTGACAGCGGAATGTTCATGCGGTTTGCATGGATCTGACATTTGTGGCATCGCCGGACAAATCCAATACAATCCTCCTCCATGGTGGACCAGTAGTAACCCTGTCTAACGATTTTTCGGGCTAACATCACCCCGTTCATGTGCGCTCCGCACTCTTCTCCATGGATGGCCTCCATCAGGTGCTTGGACTCTTCAGCATCAACACACAGTTTATGCATCCCGAGATGACCCCTCTTGTACAGTTTACCCCCACAGACGATGAACTAAGCAACCATTCTTCGAATTGCCCTCTTATCTTTGGCATTTGCCCATGGTGGATATGCTTCCTTTTCTAAGAAGTTCCAGACATCGTAATACCAGGGATTCTCATCTTGTACCTCATCTATGGCAGCAATCTGCTCGTAGGCCGGGACGAATTTCTGTTCAATGATGATCGGACGCATCCAAACTCCGAAAGGGATGTCTATCATAGAAGATAGAGTTGCTAATGAATTGGCAAACTTGTTATTCTCTCTTAACAGATGAGCGAAATTTAGTTTCTCAAACCGAGGAATCAGAACGTCCAAGGTCTGGTGATAGATTCTCATCTTTTCTTCTTTAACTTTCCAATCTCCTTTAGCTTGAGATACAACAAGGTTCGAGTCCCCGATGACATCCAACCATTTTGCCCCTAGTTCCAGGGCGACTTCTAGTCTGGCAATACATGCCTCATACTCTGCTTCATTATTCGATACTTTGAACCGGAGTTTGAATGCTAAGGGTATGCGAGAATTGTCGGGCGCTGTCAACAATACCCTTATCTCATACCCATATTGGTTTGACACTCCATCAAAGTACATTGTCCAAATCTCTTCTTCGATATGCAGAATGGCCTCGTCTGGGAACAGATATTCAACTGCTTCATGCCCTTCGACTGAGTGATCGGCTAGGAACTCCGCTACCGCTCT